TTTGGGGTTGGTCGTTAGCATATGGCAACTAGTAATATTATCCATCTCTCTCACAGTTACAGAACTAGAATGAGAACTCAAAGCCCATGGTTCCATGTTACACAAGTCTTTTTACTTCTGTAAAAGACTTTAAAAATTTATTTTTGTTTTTTAGTTGTCGACAGACTTTGATTTTATTCATTTATTTATATGTGGTGCTGAGAATTGAACCCAGCGTCTCACATATGCAAGGCAAGTGCTCTAACACTGAGCCACAACCCCAGCCCCCCAAATTCTAGGGCGGAAATTGCCATATAGCGTTGTCTGTATTCTGAAATAACTCAGGGAGTAAAATGAAGGTGGATAAAGTGAGATCAAAAGTTGCTTCAAAAGTTCTGCTTGTTGACCAGCAGAGGGCAGTCAATATCGAAGCTCACTAGTTTCTACTCTGCATTGCCTTTAAGTCCTAGAAAGCTCCGTCTTTGGGATAAGTATTTTCAGTGTTCACATTCCATTGAATCAGGCATCCAGGGCAGTTCTATTTATTGTTGCTTTTGAGTCTTATGTCCAATTTTTATTCTGGTTCCATATCTTTATTTTATTCCCTATTCCCCATGCCCAGTTCTTGTCCTCCTTACAGTTTAGGAGCTGTCTGGTAGCAGGGGATTAAGTGGATGGAAAGTATGAGAAAGGTAGTGAATTTTTGCTGTTCAACTCCTCTGTTTTAAATGCCCCAGTTTTTGTTCTTGGTTAACTGTTAAAATTCTAGGACACATTTGTTTTCTTAGCCTTACTATTCAAAGAATGGAATGAAATGGATTGACTTTTAGCTTCTAGATCCAGTATTGATAAGGCTCTAGAAACTAAAAGCAGCAAGCTCTGCCACTGTTTGATTGCAGGGATGTAAGAAAAACTTTCTGCCCCTGGATATATCCTTCATTCATGTGCCACTGTCTAAAATGCCTCTTTGTCTACTTTTTAGCTTTAGGCACTCAAAGCTCCACTAAAATTCAAAAAGTTCACTGAGGGAAACAAGATAAGTGTGACAGCATGAATTATTTTTCTTACGTTAGCAAGAACTTGAAAGAGAAGGATGTGGGCAGGAAAATCCAACCGGTTTTAACTAGAGGATGGGAGAAAAGGTCTGGAGCTAGAATTATGCTCTTTCCTGTGAATTTCCATGCCTCCCAGCTGACTGATGATTTCATTATGATCATTAAAGGCCAACATTTCTAGAGAGAATTGTGTGTCAGGCACTGTTCTCATTTAATCTTCAAACTGACCTTATGAGATTATTGCTGTTTACTGTCCCTAGTTTGCAGATGAAGAAACTGATGCACAGAGAAATTGCTTGTCTACAATTGCTTATAAAATTAACAACTAACTGATGTTGACTGCTGTGCTGCCTACTATAGCTCTGTGCCCAATAACTCAGATAATTTTGCATTGAACAGAGCATGGACAAGCATGAAGCTAGGTTACCTGGGATGGTGACACTTGGGAACACAGACCCATATGAAGTCAGAGGACCTCAGCAGTATTCCTGAGGCCACAGGATTCATAATGCTGTTGTTCCTACTTCTTGGTATAGCAATCACCTAACCTTAAGGAAACGTGGGAAAAGAAATACAAAAGTTTCATTTCACAGCACTTGCTCTATTAAGCTGAGGGGATAAGAATTTGGATGACTGAATATTTTTAACTATTTAATGTCATTCTTACAACAGTGTTATTTCTCTGAAACTGGTAACTGACTATATTCATGTTTTTCTTTTAAGAGTAAAAGAGTTCTTCAAAAGTGTTTTATAAAAATAGAAACTTTGGTGATATAATTTAACAAATTAACAAAGGCTAACTCCATCAATCTGGCAGTTTTGGATTATGTTTACATTTGTTTGTTTAGGCTTCCTAGGGTAATTACGTATTAGGTCAGTGAATTGGTTCTTTCATCTTCCATTTTACCCTCTTTCTATCCAGGTGAAGAATTCGGATTAAGGAACATCCTAACCCAGAGAGTTGAGTGGGAGAACTGTTCCTCTGTTTTAGAAATAAGCATTGCATTGTGACAGGAGCCTGTTATTCTTTCTCAAAACTCTGTCCTTAACTATGTTAGTGTTCTTTGGCATTGACAGTGTAGTGTGACCACAGGTCAGACATAGTCAGCTTTGGGGAGGAAGATCAAAATTACTGGCAGAAAGGCGGGTTTGGTATTAGTTCTGAGTTATCAGTGTACACTCCACTCCCTTCTCTGGATAACTGAGAGGTAGCTGATTTTTCTGGGCAGATCATTATGAAGCGAACAAATCAGAGTTGTATCCTTTCTAGACCATAAGGCAAGGGAGTAAAGATGCTATATGTATATTTTGTATCCAAGTTTCAGAAAGATTAACTTTCTAAGTCAGTCACTATTTGGGGGAAGACAATGCTATCACCTTTGTAAAGTTGTGAATTATGAAAGACATTTCTGTGGGTTACTGAATGTCCCTTGGGGTTTGTTTCATTTATAACTTTGCCTCAGGCCTTCTGCTGCATCCTGTTGGAATGACCTCCTTTTCAACCCTTTGTTGGCAGCTATAATACTGCTCTTTCGCCTGGATCCTTCAGGCTTGTCACATGACAAACATGAACTGTGACCCCCTTTGTTCCTTACCCCAGATGATTAGGGGTGATTTTTTTTTTTTAATGCACAACAAGTTTTTTCTTATTTTTATTTCCTTTCCCCGCTTTTCCTCTCCTCTTATTTCCTACCAAAATAAGATTGAAAACAAAAAAGGTAGCAATTTAATTTTGTATCCAAATGTAACATTGATGCAGAGAGTAAACAAATCATAAGCCCACTGAATTTTTACATCTTGAACGTGTCCACATGGACAGTAGTTGGATCAAGTGGGGAAACATCACCAGAACTTGAGAAGACCCCTGTCCCCTCTAGTCACTTCTTAGTTGCCCCATGGGACTCACTGTTGGGACCTTTATAGCTTTATCTGTTCGGAGACTTTGTAGAAATGGAATCATACAATATATGTGTCTGTGTTCTTTCATTTAACATTTTTGTGATATTCATTCATGTTACCCATTTGTTATTGCTGTATAATATTCCATGGTATGAATATTCCACAATTTATTCCACTTATATTAAGTATTGGGGTTGTTTCTAGTTGGACTATTGGGATTGGTAGTGCTAATATTCGTGTACATGAGTTTTGATTAAAATATGACACATTCCTGGGTATTTACATAGAAGTGGAATTGCTGAGACATAGTATCCATCTAGCCATTTAATTGAAAAAATCAGATAAATATAACACTAATTTTAGACAAACTCTTGGTAGGAAACATTTTTAAAAATGTATAGATTTAGCTTTAGCATAATATGTCTAATTTGTAACTAAAGAATGTGCCTCTATTTAAATATACTGTAGTTTTAAACAGATAACTCCTATAAACAAGAAAATTGCCCCTCTCTGCCAATGACATATTTTACTAACTTTCTTCCTAAAGTATACTTTTATTCAGTTTTCCAAAACTGAGTTGGGGGGCCTATTCTGCAAAGATCTTGGATAGTAATAATTTATAGTAATTAAGGCAACATCCAAGTTGTACCATCCCTGAGTAGTGATGCCTACAGAGAATGACTTTACTCACATTTCTTGAAGCAAAGCAATTACATGATAATGAAACTCAGAAAAAAAACAAAAGTTGCTGCCAGAATTAATAGGACCCCGGCTTTGATCTGCTGTTTGGTGTGTCTTTGCTCTTTCTCCGTATGCTACTTATGACAAGCATCCATCTCTTCTAAAACATGGGCTTTCCAAAATTTGTTCCATGATTTCTTGTGAATGAGTTTAACCTAATGAGTGTAGAAATACAATTGTGACATCCCATCTCTCAAAAACTGGATAGTACCTTTTATGAAAGTGTTACTTGACTATCAGATAAAGTACCTCCCAAGTCATTCTACCAACATGCATGGAATTAAGTTGACTATTTTTCACCCTGGTGATTTGGAGACCCTAAAGAATTTCCTTCCCCTTCATCAAAACAATTCAATCAGAAGTGTGAAGGGCATGGTTAATTAAAATTTGATGGTTAGGCCTGGGGATATAGCTCAGTTGGTAGAATGCTTGCCTTGCATGCACAAGGCCATGGGTTCAATTCCCAGCACCACACAAAAAAATTGATGGTTATAAAAGAATAGTAAGAGAACAAAAAGATTTGCTTCCTATGTTTGTTAAATATCTTGTATAAGTCTTGAGCAGATAAAGAAGAGTTGCCAATTCAATGGACATGTTTTTTGAAACAAGTATGGTAAATGAAAGAATTAAGAGATTTTACTTTTATAAAATTATCTTTTGAGAATTATTTTTAATTTCTTTAAATTTTGTCTTAAAATATTAGTATATAGACATTATTATTTAAAAACTGTCTTAATATAGGAGTGTTGAGTTTCACTAATTCTTTTTAATGATGCTCACATTGGTTGTTCTGGGGTTTGGTTTTGTTTTGGTTTGGTTTGGTTCTTATTTGAACCAGCAGATTCAATGCAGAAAATATTATTGAATAATCTGTGTTGTTTTTTGTACTTTGTTCAGCCTAGAAGGAACAAAAATGATAATCTCTGTCCTCAGAAAACTTCTGGTCTTGGGGGCATGTGATGGTGATATACAAATTATTGTCACACAATGTAAAGTAACTGAACATGAGAATTCCGACAGACGGTGGGGGGGGGGCAGGGCGACCCATTCAAAGCACAGTCTTATTTTTACTTTTACTATCAACATCCAAAAGATTACACATATTTACAGTGTACAATCTAATAGTTTTTAATGAATTCATACACCTATGAAATCAGCTGTTGCCAGGGTCCAGCTGAAAGAATGAGGTCATGGAAGAGGTGGGTGGCCTTTGGAGATCAGGCATGCCTGATCTCCAGGACCCAGAGGGTAGTGGGCTAGACTTGACAGACCTTTCCTTTGTGAAAGATCCTTAAGTTAAACTGCTTCTCCTTTTATTTTGTTTAGGGATTAAAAGACAACTTTCTTGCTTCCGGGGCATCAAGCCTGACAGCCACCAAACAGTTGCTTCGTCCAAGAATCACGAGAGTCTGCCTCAGGGACTTGATATTCTGTATGGAACAGGAAAGGGAGATGAAGTATTCTCGAGCTCTGTACCTTGCCCTTCTGAAGTGACCGCTTCCATCCAGATCCTTGCTATTTACTGCCAAAGAAGACAAAAAAAAGAGATGCACTGTCCTGAAATCTCTCTTTCTGGAAAATCAGTCACCAGTATGAAAGACCACTGTTTACAGTTAGAAGTTTTTACTAAATCTTACCTGTACAGCTCATGGGGTTCTTATAGCTGAGAATTCAGTTTGATCTTCTGAAAATCAGTTGTGCAGTACCCTTTACAGAGAAGTAGCATCTGCCCCCCTGTGAGTTTAATTATAGCAAGTTAAGGCTCCGTTTGTTACTACCTGCTTCATTTGCCAAACTTCATTTGCCATGAGGTGTCTTTCCCTTAGTACCTCCTGCATTGAGATGTGGGAGAAAAGACGAGTTACCACTTACCAAGAAAAGGTATTTTGTCCTACACTGAGCCTATCTCAAAGTGTTGGGCTTTCTAGGCTGGAATCAGAAGCTGCTTAGCTAACTATGACAGTGGTCACCTTCTCTAGTTGAAGGTGACAGGCCACAGAGTAAGCCTTTGGTAACTTGGGTTGGCTGAGCCCCATTGTTGTCCAGATAAGACACATGGGGACAGGTTGTGCCTGAGGTTGCTAATTCTCTGGCTAATCTCACTATGTGCTGCTTCTGATACCAAGTTGGGGGACGTCCTTGTCAGGAAAACCTTACGGTTGAAGCTGCTGCTTATATACCCTGTTGGAAAATGGGAAAGGTGGGAAGCACTGGAAGGAATAATGAAGGGAAGAAGAAAATGGAATCCTAAGACAGGAAGTGTGCTGCGTGTGCCCAGGGATGGAGGGATGGAATCGGAACTCCTAATAAACTGGTACATGTTCTGTTGATGAAGGGAGAAAAATCACAGTCCAACTAAAAAGGAAAATGGTCATCAAACATTTTCAAAGGGTGTTATTTTTTTTTTTTTTGTATTATTTTAAAACCCAAGAAGATGATTTTTGTAGTTCCTTCTCTTGTAAAATCTTTTAGTTATCCTAAGTTTTAAACATCTTGGTACATTTAGAAAATCCTAATTCATGATGAGAAATTTTAAACAAAAGACTCCCTCTTGGATTCTGTACTTAAAAGGTACTGTCAGCATCTCACTCTTGGGATCCTGGCACTAAATGTGAGAAACACATTACATGAATCTTTTTGAGGAAAAAGCATATGTGCAAAGAGCAAACACTTTTTTTTTAATCTTTATTTATTTATTTTTAATTCCACCAATGTGTATTGTGGATAGCAAAAATATATATATATAGTGGTTATTAGAGTCACATACAGAAAGAAAGCTTAAATCCTCCAAGAAGATTTTTTTTAAATGGGAAATGCTGGACTTCTTAGTAAAGGAATGTAGAGAGAAAAACACCTCATATGTTACTCTTCACCCTGTTCTTCCCACTGGGATTGTTACAGCCATCTTCTATACTGTAGTAATATTTAAATTGGCCACATGTTTTTGTTTCAGCAAGTTATTATGTAAAATGCTGTAAATTATGTATGTGTTGAAAGAGTACTTTAAGAAAGAGATCTATACCCAAAGTTGTTTTTGTATATTTAAATGCTTAGCTTTATTTTTTTTGTAAAGTGCAGCATACTCCTACATTTGTGTATAATCTTATTGATCAGATGTTTAAAGTTATTTCAAATACTTCATTAAAATGATTATTTTATTATAATAACAACTTTTCTCACTCACTGATTTTGAAAACCAGGTTTTATTAGTAACCAGTCCCTCCAGGGCTCAAATTTGCCAGGCATTGGCTCTTTCTTGGATCCGATTGTTATTTATTTTGGAGTGTTGGCATTTGGGTTCCAGAACCTTGCTTTAGATCCAAGTTGCTATATCACTTTCTTTGAAGTAGTTATAAATCTTCATGCTATTTGACTCACAAAGAAAACTAAGTATATTCATTACCAAGCTTTTCTTGGCTCATCTAGGTTTTCTTCCTAAGAGTCTTCTTCAGGATGTTTTGTTCTGTCATGTTTTGTTTTTTGGGTACTGGGGATTGAACCCTGGGGAGCTTTACCACTGAGCCACATCCTAGCCCTTTTATATTTTTATTTTGAGACAGGGTCTCACTAAGTTGCTGAGGGTCTCCCAAGTTGCTGAGACTGGCCTTGAACTTGGGATCATCCTGCCTCAGCCTCCTGAGCCCCTGGGATTATAGGCCTATGCTGTTGCACCAGACTTAAAAATTTTAAGTTAATATATAACTTTATTTTAATACATACTTTTAAAGTTTATGTTTTAAAGTATATCTTACAAAAGAACAAGTGTATCCAAGTTATTTTTCTGTTCTGTTCATAAAATGGTGACCTTGGGGTAGATCTGATCTACAGATGCATTTTATTTGATATGCAGTATTGCCAATGTTTTAATTCACAAAAGTCTTTATTTCCATTTCTTTTTTAAAAATCAGAAGATCTGGAATCACTAAATATATACTCTTTTTTTTTTTTTTTTGTATGGTATTAAGCCACTAAAGCTAACCAGGGGCCACCCACTTTACAGATTTTAAAAGCAACTCTAAACCAGGTGTGATGGCTCATGGCTGTCATTCCAATGACTCACAATACTGAGGAGGAGGATCACAAGTTCAAGGCCAACCTTAGCAACTTAGTGAGACTGTCTAAAATAAAAAAGAACTGGTGAAAAAACTTTAAGGTATATTTTACATAAAAAATTTATCCATTTCATCCATTTACTTTTAATATAAGTTTTGATTTTAATAGTCTCCTAGACAGCTTTAAGATTTTTCTTCTTTTAAGAAGTTTGACTTTAAAAATATAAAATATTTTTAAAATATTTTTTTAGTTGTAGATGGACATGATATATTATTTATTTTATGTGGTTCAAGTGCCTCACACATGCAAGGCAAGCACTCTACCACTGAGCTACAGCTCTAGCCCCAAAGTCTATATCTCTTATAATCAATGTTTGAGATAAATTGTTGAAATTTTTGACAGTACTTTGTTTAGAATTAAGACCATTTGTATTAGTTGTGTCATGGTTGCAGCAGAGAACACAAGCAATATTAGGTGTATTTTTTAGGAAAATAATGGAACCAAGATCTCAGGCCTGTTTGGGTGGACTTCATCTCTTTGCCTAGTTGATAGTGAACCAATAGTGTCTTTAAAACTTTGTCTTCAACAATCCTTAGTGATTCTGCAGGAGATAAAAGCATCTTGTGGTCACATGTTTGTCTATGACCTAGTAGCCAGTTTTTATCATTTCTGCCCTTTCAAATGCATGCATGTGCCTGTCTGAACTGACAAACTTTTTTTTTGTAGGCATTTTGTACCAATAGAATCTTTTTCTCTTCCAGTATTTTCATATGCATTTCAGTTTGTATTGCATTAGTGCATTAGCTTTTCCACAAAAGTTCTTTTCACCAGTTGGAATTTGGTTTTCAATAAAATATCTTTGTGGATAAGGCCAATTTTTTAAAAATAATGGTTTTTTAGTTGTTTATAGACTTTATTTATTTATATGCAGTGCTGAGAATCAAACCCAGTGCCTCACACATGCTAGGCAAGTGCTCTACCACTGAGCCACAACCCCAGCCCTTTAAGGCCAATTTTAATGGCAACTCTTCTTGAAAATAATAATACCAGGTTGACATCTAAGTTCTCTTATCATAGATGGTATTGAGACAGTATTTCCTGTGTTAAGAGCAACCCTGGCTCCCCACTCAATCCTAGCTCTTACCAAGATAGGACATTGGGCACATTATTTAGCTTCTCTGTGCCTTTATTACCTGATTTGTAAATAATCATACCTGTGAAGTGGCTTTGAGTTTAACTAATGGTCACATGTTACATGCACATACCATATCCAGTAAAGCATGTACTAGTAATGGTTGTTATTGTTTGATAATTTTGGATTATATAGCTCTTCTTCCTGCCCCACCACCCCCCCCCCCCGCCATGAAAGTCACTGGCTAAATACATAAACCTTAGTGTCTTTTAAAAATGTAATCTAAGATTATACAAATTCTTCGGTATTGCACTGGGTGCTGGGGGTGGGAGGCTATAAGGAGAAAAGTATGATTGATATATAGCAGATATTTGACAGAATAGTTCTTGTTTTCTCTCTCTCTCTGTTTTTTTTTTTTTTTTTTTGTTACTGGGGATTAAACCCAGGACCAAGCATGTACTCTACCTTCAAGCTACAGCCTCCCAATCCCCAAAACAATTTAGTCCATGATTTTGCCTAATAAGTTTCCTGTGAGTTGGAAGCAGTACTTTCCATTACTTCCAAATGTTTAATTTAAAACATTATAGATACATGTGGTGAGCATTCAGAGCCCCCCTCAGTTTCCCTCTGTTCCCTGATTAACCCACCTGCTGTGTCCTGTTTCATAATTGATTATCCCCCCCTTATTGGCATTTGATGGCATATGGATCTATCTTTTGCCATTTTCACAAATCCACTTTTCTTAATTTGCCTTATACTATTTTCCAGGCCAGGAGTGCTGTAGCATCTTACTATAATCTTGGAGAAAACAACGTTTTTTTCCTTGAAGGATTTAGTCATAGATTTTTTTACTATTTGGTAAATTTTACTATTTCACTACAAGAATCCAATTATGTCTCAATGTGTCAACAGATTCTTCTACCAAAGAGGCATCAGAATAAGCTAGACAGGTAGTAGAGATATCTTGAAATGGGTATGGGTGGAGAAAGTGATTTAAGGGAAGGATCCAGTGTCCCAGATATAATTTTAAAGTTTCACTGGCAGCATTCCTTCACCATGAACTGCTCACATTATAGAAACCAAGTTGAATTTAGCATCACTCCAACCTTTTTTCTATAAGAGTTATATTCTTCATTAAAAACATATGAACAAGCTGGGTGTGGGGGCACACACCTACAATTCCAGTGGCTAGGGAGGCTGAGACAGGAGGATCTCGAGTTCAAAGCCAGCCTCAGCAAAAGTGAGGTGCTAAGCAACTCAGTGAGACCCTGTCTCTAAATAAAATACAAAATAGGGCTGGGGATGTGGCTCAGTGGTCCAGTGCCCCTGAGTTCAATCTCCAGGAATAGGAATGATCTCAATTTGACATTCCCAGATATGATCCCCGAGGGGATTGCCTGATATCCAGAAGACTCATTCAGCAAACTTGAAAGAATTTTCTGCACATGAGACACCATGGGGAACAATGATGTTTAAGATATAGTGTGAGCCTATGGTCAGAGATGGAAAATATATGTAAGCACACTCATGTACAGTAGCATATGCTGGGTTCCAAGGAGTGGTAAAAGTAGGGTTTCATGGGATCCTTAGAAAAAAATATATTACTCCTAAATAGAATAATGAGGTTAAATGAAGAAGCAAAATTTGATCTCACCATTGAAAAAAAATGGATTTTTTTTAAAGTCATATATTTCATCTAAGACCTTCTAAGACAAAAGATTGAGAGGCTAAAAAGGATAAAGTATACTTAAGGTAAGGAAGAAAATATTTACTATGGTTGATTATGAGAGTCATGCAGGACACCTGGAAATGTAAGATGGGGGAAATTAATATGTTTATACAGTCCAGAATTTTAAAAGTACACAAGAACAGAGGGTAAATTCCTCCACCTCGGTCTAGATAAATTCTTCACAATTTGTATTTCAGAGAAATTACAGTAAAGGAATTGGAAATTTTGCCTGTAAGCTTTTTACCTCCCTCAAAGATTTGCCCTTGATTATAACAGCAATATATTTTCATTTTAGGAAATTTGGAAACTAAAAACATAAGGAAAATGAAAACACATGACACCGTTAATATTTTCATGCATTTCTTCCTAACCCTTCTTTCTTGGCTAGATGTTTTCAAACGGTCGATCCAGCATCATGTCTTGCTGTGCGTGCCATAGAAGATGCTAGAGGAAATGAGAAGAAACACAATGGGGAGAATGAAGCATCACGTTTGAACTCTGTCTCTCCATGATTCTCATTTCCTCAGGTAGCATATGGTTTTGTTTAAAACTATTTCAGCTTGTTCTTAGGTGTGAAGTGAAAGTACCCTGCAAATCTCCTCATCACCATCAGCAGTTCTGTTCATGCTAAGGCAATGTTGGAGAAAAATTGCCATAATTTCTCAGCATTATCATGTAGCAAATTCAAGGTGGTATAGAAGTGTAATCCTTGAGATTTAGGCTATAGGACTCAGAACTTTCCCTGTTTCTAAGTAAGATTAATAAAGGCTTTGCCTGAGGATGAAGAAAGGGAAAAGATTCACTGGTGGCTTTGTGACAAAATCTTACATCTTAAGCCTCCAGTTCCCTAAACAGAAAGCTGAGGGGAATTTCCTGTTGGTGATGTGAGCATCTCATTGGGCACCTGTTAATGGTGTTAATTATTATAAAAGTGGCGCACCCTGTAATCCCAGTGGCTCGGGAGGCTGAGGCAGGAGGATGTAAGTTCAAAGCCAGCCTCAGCAAAAGCAAGGTGCTAAGCAATTCAGTGAGACCATGTCTCTAAATAAAATACAAAATAGGGTTGGCAGAGTGCCCCTGAATTCAATCCCCAGCATCCACCCCACAAAAAGTGTTGTGTATGGTGCCAGACCAAACAGCAACTAATTATAATATAATTATATATACTTAACATGTATTATTATGTATTTAGTATATATTAATAGATATTAAATACATAAT